GGGGGGTTGCCTGTCCCCACAGGAGACAGATTGAGGAGAGCTGGACAGACTAGAGACAACGCTGAGATAGGCACCCTAGCTGGCTGTCCCTCCACTGGGCAAGACTTATGTCCCTGGCCCTGGCCACTGGCCGGAAGAGAACCCGTGTTTCCTGGCCCAACAGGAAGGCTGCAGGTAGCACTAGACACGGCAAGGCCCGACTCAAATGGCTTCATCTCAAAACCAACTTCCAACCCAACAGGTGCACCAGGCCACCTGCCCTGGCCTGAGCAGAAGCCAAGATGTCTTCAAAACCGTGTCCTTCTCACTGCCAATCAGTCGACTCTGACTCAGGGAGCCCCCTTGGGTCTCTGAGGTTTAAAGTCTTAGCAGGAAGAGGCAGCCTCCCCTCTGCCTCGCAAAGCAGCTGGTGGGTTCAGACCTCAGAGCTGTGCTTGCCGGCTCCGTGGGTAGCCCAGTGCACACCGAGGTCCGTTTCTGCAAGACCACACATCCCACTTCCACCTGCGTGCACGGAGTCTGAGTGACAGTCTCTCTGGGAGGAGGTCAGCGGAGCACAGCAAAGACCAGAGGGCTGGCACCTCGAACCGATCGGTTTCCTTCTAGGTCATCTCGCTCAAGGGGTGACCCTGTGTGGGGTGTGCGCTCCCTCTGTGACCTAGACATCCCCCGGCACTAGCTTCTATCTCTGTGGTCTCTACTTTCATGGGACCACACGGTGGAGCCCTAACATTTGCTCATTCAGGTACATGTTCCCATTCTTCATCCAAGTCAGCAAGCTGACTGGGATTCTGAACACCTTTACAGACGGGAAACCTGAGGCTGGAGGGGAAGCGTTCACCCAGTCCCCTGGCAAGTGCAAGGCCTGCCGTCTGAACACACGCTCAACAAAGCTGGCACAGAACTGTCTGCTGGCACCGACTTCAAGCAGGCCCTGCGGCTGTGGGTCCCATGGTCAGTGCCGTGGGCATGAAAGATGGAAGCCACAACACTCCGTTGTGTCTTGGGTTTGGGTTGCTAAGACCCTGGGGGCCAGCCGACCCTCCAAGGCTCCCTCCCCCCAGGGCCAAGCCACGAGGACTCCCTTCAAGGGGCTTTCTTGGACTTGCCGGCTCTGTGCACTCCCAGCCTCCTCCTTGCTGCTCACCTACACTGGCCACCAGAAGGGCTCAGGGGCTTCTTCTGCTGTGGGGAGTCGGACCTAAACCCAGCAGGACAGGGGTCCCCTGCGAACTTGGCTGGCTGGAAAACTGGGGGGGCTGTCCACTCACTGAGGTGCTCTACACACAAGAAAGAATTCCCTTTGGCTTTTTTTTTTTTTGTCCACAAAATGTTCGGAAGTTTTGGCTCCCTGTTTATTGCCTAATGAATAACTGAGACGGCAGTGTCTGCCTGGAGCCACTCATGATTTAATTATCCAAAGGGGGGAAAGGCCATCGAGTAATGAGGGCCAGGGCCGAGGGGAAGGAATGGGGAGTTATTGCTTAAGGCATACAGAACTTCTGTTGGGGACGACAGACACGGTGTGATTCCTGTGACTGAATTGTACATGTAAAACTGTTGAAACGCTAATTTGAGGATATAGATATTTTACCTAAAAACAACAAAAAACTGCTTTTGAAGATTGTTCAGGGATTCATCTTCCCTGCAAGAAAGCCACCGGGATCTGAGTCCAAACGCCAGTCACTCGCCTCCATCTCTGTCTCTGGACCTCCGCACAGGCTGTTCCCTCTGCCTGCAGCACAAGTCTCCTCATCACGCTCAGTCTCAGCAGAGCAGACACCAGCCTGAAATGATACAACTCCTTCTGCCACTGCCCCACCAAACCTGGTGCTCCTGGTGGGTCCCGGGGAGGGGTGTCTTTTCCGCCTCCCCCACTAGCCAGGAGCGTGTAGCCCAGAGCTGTGGTGCCTGCCTTGTAGCAGGTGCCCACGGCATATGTGCAGAAGTAAGGAGAGGTGGAAGACCCAGGCCCGGAGAGGCTAAGACAGCTGTCTGATGGCCCCACCACCCCAGGGCACAGGAACAAGGACACGAGGGAGCACCCAGCCTGCTGTGGGCTCGGCAAGGAAGGGCTGTCAAACACGGCAGCATTCAGAGAGATCAAAGCACAGTTAATGTCTCATCTCCGGGCCTTAGATGCCACGATGCATTGAAACTGGAAACGTTCCAGTTTCTTTCATCATCTACGAGAGATATGACATCCTGTGGCCTCACACAGGACAGACATGTCTGCTCAGGGGCCTCCTGACACCAGGGACCTCCTCTCGCCAGCCCCCTGCCCGTCCTTTGGGACCTTCAGTGGGCAGGTGCCTAGGCAGCAAAGCATCAGCAGGGGGTGGAAGGGAAGGGCCTTGCTCTGAGCAGCACAGCCTGTGCGCGCCTGTCACCTACACCTTGTTCACCTCCAGCCTGGGGCATGGGGCCGAGAGCAGGTGGCGTTCCAATAAACACCTGTCCGATGTCACATTCGTGTACACCGATTCATGGGCACCAGCACACATGCATGGCCCAAGCGCTAACTTCAACAGGTACTGCTTGTGCTGGCCCCGAACATATGTGTGCCTCAGGCTGAGTCTAGCAGAATCGGGCCAGACCGGGGCTTCCACTCAGTGTCCGTGCTGATTGGAGGGAACCCAGCCTTCACAGTGGGCAAACACAGGGCTCACACACACCCACGAGCACACACCATATCAGTGTACATGTGACACACACACACACACACACACACACACACACACTCCCCATGCATACCCTCCTTAGGGAATTTGGGGACTGTGCTCTTGCACAAATACCTAGCCCCTTCCATCCACCCTCCTGCCCCAAATGCACTAAAGAGGGGAACTATTTTGGTCTTTAGCACAAGCAACAAATAAATAAATGCATACGTATGGGGCGGGGGAGAAGAGTTTGGAAATGCAGCCCCAGTCTGCCTAGCTGCTCCCCTGAGGGGATGAAGAGTCCAGTGTGGGTGTAGGGGTGGGGGTAGAGAGGGTGAGGGGGCCCAGACCTGAAAGGAGGGTACACCAGGCCACATTGCTGAAGAAGGGGTGAGCCTTGGGGCTCTGGCAGCTTCACGCTGGCCCTGCAAAGGGTGGGTGGGTGGAACGCTGGGCACTCAGCCCCACGGGGTTTTAGGCCGCAGAGCAGAGCTGTGCACAGGCTCCTTGGATGGGGCTGTGTGACTGAGGCCCCCCTGCCTCACCTTGGGTCTGAGCCTGACAATTGAGGGTGCCAGCATGGTTCCCGATACCAACGTGCACCCTCTGCTAACTCCAGGTCACACAAGACAGGGGCGAGATTGGGGGAAGAATCGAGGCTCCCCTGAGCAAGTCTAGAGAGCAAGGAGCTGCCTCCCCATTACCCTCAGGTCAAAGACTTGGGTGGGGTCTGAGGGTGGGCCCATCTCAGGGTGTGGGGGCCACTGGCATGGAAACCAGAGCTCACGCTGGTACCTCCAGGCCAGGAGTTCTCAGTGCCAGGTCACTTCCAGCTTTTGTGGGGAGGAGGAGGGAAGAGCAGGAGGCCCCGCCCAGACTCTAGGCTCTGCCTGCCCGCTCATTCACTCACCACATGACCTCAGACAGCCCCCTCTCTACTCTGCCTCAGTTTCCCCACTGGCAAAATCCAGTTGGGGCTGAAGTGCCTGTGGTCGGCAGGCTATTTAACTACAGGACTTTCTGCCAGCCTGATCATGGAAAGGGACTTTAACAGGCCCAGGCTCATTCCAGGTCACGTGCCCTATTGCTGTCTCCTTCTCTGTCAAGGTCTAAGCCTGGGGGCTTGTCTCCTACCAATGAGAAAAGAAGTCCCCAGACATCCTCCCAACAAGGGTCCCACCATTAGAGCCACACCCACCTCCAAGCATTCCTGGGAGGAGAGCAAAGAGAGGCCCTGGCACCTCGGGAACCCATCTTTCACTCGGCTGATTTCTCAATCCCTCCTTGGATGGCCCTTCGAAACGAACATCACAGTTTGAGACAGCAGGGGGGCTCTGAAAATTCTGTGCCCTAAGACCTTTCCTCTGCCAACCAGCAGCAACCCCAATCTGGCCGTGCGCATCTAGGCACACCTGTGCCAGCCCACAGGTGAAGGGGATGGGTGGCAAGGGCAGGACACTTTCCTGGGGAGAGAAAGGGCTGGCAGTGACATTGGGACAGCGGAGGAGGCAGACAAAAAAAACCAAACAGCTTCAGCAGAACACGCTGGTCTCTCTAAGGCACAGCCCACCCCGTGAGCCAAGTGGGGGTCCACCGAGTCCCTTTCTTCTTAGTCTAGGGAACTAGCTTCCCCCCAGGCCAACTCGGTCCCACTCCCCACCCCACCCCCACCCCCACCCTTCACTGTGGAGGAGATGGAGGCCTCTGGGCAGAAACAGAGGGATAAGCGAGACTGGACAGGGGACTCGGGTCGGGAAGAGAAACTTCCATGGCAGCATTTCTCCACTAGGGAGTCAAACTCGCCCTCAACCCCCGAGCCAGTCCCACCCCAGCGGCCCCAGACCGTGTTTTGTGATGGTCACCAACACTGTTTTGGGGGTCCCTATCACCATGGAAACTAACTCATCTTGGGAAGGAGCAACTGTTCTGGGGGGTTCGTTGTGCTGCTGCTCGGGGCTGCCACCTTCCACGCTCCTCTGGGGCTTCCCAGGGAGGGGGCAGTTCTGGCGTCAGGGAACTTTCCCACTGCTTGGATCTTGGCCTACCCATGGAATTCTACGTTCCTTTTCTCACGAACTTAAAAAAAAAAAAAAGAATCACATCTTACTTTTTTTTTTTTTTAAATAGTTTTACCCAAGCAAAGATGAATAAACGCTGGGAACTGGAGTTTCTCTCCAAGGTTAAAACCAGCAAAGGGCACCGCAGCCACTCAGCTTTGCCCACAGAGGCTGGGCCACTGCGCCAGCCCTTCACTCTTTCTAGGCTGGCTGTGGCCAAGCCTTCCGTTGCAGCCCCTGCTCTGGCAGCCCGCTCCCCACCCACCCCGTAGGCCACCCAACCCACGTTTGCTGCTCCGGCCTTGGAGGCTGGGGCTGCCCACTCCCCCACCAATCTCAAAGGACACGGCAAAGAAACAGAAAAATGGCTAGCACGCTACTGAGTCTGCCATCTGGGCGCCTGGCCTTCCCGCTCAAACCCGGAGGCTTAGGGGGCGCTGGCTGGCCCTCATCTTGCCGGGCCAGGCACTGGACCTTGGCTGGGGTCTGCTTAGATCTCTGACTCCCGTCTGTAGGGCCGCTGATCATGGCTGCTGCTCCCACCGGCCGGCAGCCTGTCAAACTCGTGCCTGCTCTCGGGGCTCAAGCCATCCTGCTCTCCGTCCTCCTCCTCCTCCTCCTCCTCCTCCTCATCCCGACTCAGGAAGGCCAGCTCATTCTCGTAGCAGAAGGAGCCAGCGCTGGGCAGCAGGAACTTGTTCTCCACCAGGTCCTTGGCACTGCAGCGGGGCGTGGAGGGCACCTCGTAGGTCTTGTGGAAGTGAGCATAGTCGATCTTGTACTGGCTCTTCTCCTCGAAGAGCACTGGCTCGAAGCGGTGGCCCCAGAGGATCTCACTGGCTAGGTAGGAGCTGCGGGCCTGGGTGGTCATGGCCGTGGCCTCCACCATGCCCTCCAAGATGACCACAATCTCAAAGTCGTCCGTCTCCAGGTCCTGCCGGCTCAGGCCGAACAGCGGGCTGGCCTCGTCGATCTCGTGCAGGATGGTGATCGGGGAGACCAGGAAGATGCGGTCGAGGCCTTTGTCGAAGCCCACGTCGATGTCGATCTGGTCCAGCGGGATGTACTCGCCCTCCTCCGTGACCCGAGGCTTGATGAGCTGCGCCCGCACGTGGGCCTCCACGATGTGGCTCTTGCGCAGGTTCCCCACGCGCCACATGAGGCAGAGCTTGCCGTCACGCAGCGCCACCACGGCGTGGCGGCTGAACAGCAGCGTCTGCGCCCGTTTCTTGGGCCGGGCCATCTTGGCCATGATGGCGCCGATCATGAAGGAGTCGATGACGCAGCCCACGATGGATTGGGCCACCACCATGAAGACGGCCACGGGGCACTCCTCGGTCACGCAGCGCAGCCCGTAGCCGATGGTGGTCTGCGTCTCGATGGAGAAGAGGAAGGCCGCCAGGAAGCCGTGCACCTGCAGCACGCAGGGCGTGCGCTCCCGGCCCTCGGCCACGGGGGGCTCCAGGTCGCCGTGCGCCACGGCGATGACCCAGAAGATGACGCCGAACAGCAGCCAGGAGGCGAGGAAGGCCAGAGAGAAGATGAGCAGCATGTAGCGCCAGCGGATGTCCACGCAGGTGGTGAACATGTCGGCCAGGTAGCGCTGGGACTTCTCATCCATGTTGGCGAACTCGATGTTGCACTGGCCGCTCTTCTTGACGAAGCGGGGGCGGCCCCGGCGCCGGGTGTGCACCTTCCCGTTGCCAAAGCCATTGGCACCCGACATGGTGACCAGGTGCAGCCCGTCCTCCTCGGACGACACAATGCTGTAGGGGTTGGCCTGGCTGGCCGCGGTCATCCCAGGGCTGGGGGGACCCTGGCATGCCCCCAGGCTGGCTCTGGGCAGCAGGGCTGGAGAGATGCCTGCAACGGGGATGAGAGATGGAAGGTCAGGGTCAGTGGGAGCAACATCTGACTCTCTCCCCTCCCCAGGGCCCCACAGATACCCCAACGTTATCAGTCCGAGCCCCTGGCCTCCCGTCCCCACTCTGAGCCAATGCCTTGCCCCACTTCCCTGGGCTTTGAACTGCTGCTTGGCAATCTACTTCCTTTCATGGCAACATCACCTCTCCAAGAAACCCCGTTGGCTCTTGTTGGATCTGACCACGTCTACCTCGCAGCCACCCCTGGTCTGATGCCCGTCAAGGCTGACTGGATAAGTCCCGTGGCCCCTTCGCATAGCCTATAGCCCCACGGTGCCCCAGGGGGCTGTGGAAGCAGAAGCCAGACCCCTTAGCCCTCGGGGTTAAAGGCAGAGACCATGGTCAGCAGGACCTGCACATGCAGGACTCTTCCATCCCACCTCCTGCCCACACTCCCCTGGCTACACCCTCCCAGGGTCTCTGTGTTGGTGCTTGAACACACCAAGTGCACCTCCCTGGACTCCTCCTAGCCGCCTTCAAAGGCTTAGCGCAACGCTACTGCTTCCTCAAAGTTGTCCCTGCAGAGGCACCCGTTGTACTCCCTCCTGATCCCTGGCCCCACCCCACCCGCACCCAGGAGACTCCTTGAGGTGCGGAGAGAGTGAGGTTCTAATTCCGGTGCTGTTGGCTCCCAGGGTGGACTTCTGTCTGGTTCAGTCGTGCTGGAGCCGCCCCAGTGCCTAGCGTGGGGCTTGATGAGCATCTGTGGATACAGGGCTTCCCAGCTGAACCTGACTGGTCAGAGACAGGATGGCCCCACCACCCTCCATCCCTCACCTGCCCTGGACCAAACCCTTGTCTCTGACATACCCACCCTGGGCACCCATGGAGCCCACTTCCAGCCGTGCCAGGCTGAGAGGAGTCATCAAATAACTTATTGGCCAACCTCAGCCAAGGGATCTCCTTCAGCTCTGTTCTCACTCAGACTGTCACCTGTGTCGCCCCTGCCTCCATCCCCCAAGCAACAGCACCCCTGTATCCAGGTATCCAGGTGGGCCCTGGCTGGATGGCATTAGCAGCCGACTCCAGATAAGCTCTGTTTGCATAGCCATGCCCACTGACTCCATGCCCAGCCTGTCAGGGCCTGGCTGGGGCTTCTGTGGACCAGGGGGCCATGGCTTGGCAGCCTGGCTCCGTGTACTGATGCCATCTGGCCTCACTGGCCTGGGTGCTGGAAGCAGGTACAGGTCCACTTGGCTGTGCCGAGAGGAGGACAGAGACCCCCACCGACTGTTGGGGGTTGAGGGCAGAGTGGTGGGGGCACCCACGCTGCCAGCCCCTGCCTCATTTTACAAAGGGACACTGAGCAGGCCCCAGGGCATTCAGGTATCAGGCAAATCCATCTAACACAAAGACCAAAGCTCCGAAGCTGCCCTGCTCATGCAGCCAGGCGGTGGTGACACCAGGGCAGACTGGGTCTGTGCGGCCTGGCTCGAGTCCCTGCGAGATCTTGGACTGGTTTCTGGCTGAGCCCGCACCATCTTTACCTCGCACAGGACGTGCCCTTCAGAGAGAAGAGCAGAGCTCTGGGGCAGCTGGTCTGAGGGCAGGCTGATGCCAGCCATGGTCCCCGACCTCTGGGAGGTGGCAGTGTGCCGCTCCCAGGTCTGTCGCAGTCGATGGGCACTTCAAGAGATCCGCCGGGGAGCCCTGTGTCACCGGACACACACAAAAACAGCTCTCTGTATCCTCACCAGAGCTGGATGGCAGAGGCTCAGAGAAAGTGAGTCACAGCCACTCAGTCTGGGACAGGGCAGCTGAGCCTTAACCCACCGCTGTCCAGGAAGACATCTTCCCTGGGGCTCCCAGCTCCACAGCTGGCCTGCTCTGCTCTTTGAGTGCATCCTCTGCCCATACCTGTTCAGGTTGACCACCTCTCAGTGGGCCTGAGGAGCTGGAACCTAGGGCCACAGTGGTGGATGATGCTTCTGCTGGATCCAAGAATCAGGGGGCTGTTTGGGTGAGGATGGGGGTGGGACTGCTGTGTTATATTGGAAAGACAGTGCAGTCCCTCTGGGTGTGGCAGCCAGTGGGCAGTGTCTGGGCCCCAGGAGGGAGCTTTATGTGGCCTGGAGGAAGAGCCAGTGGGCCAGGCCCAGTCTTGCACCTGCTAAGCTACTCACGGCTGGCAGGGGACAGGCTGCAGGAACCAGACACCCAGAGAGCCCGGCAGGGGGCACTGCAGCCAGCTGGTGTTGAACCTGGTCAGCTTCCAGGCAAGGGGGTGAGAAAGTACCAGCATCTCTGCTAAGGCTGGGTGCCGGGGGTTTCACTCCATTGACTGATCTTCCTGAAAACGCACAGAGGCAACCAACAAGGCCAAGTTCAAACCCCTGCCCTGCTCCTCAGAGTCATAAATGGGTACTTAGAGCAAAATCACTTGTCAGAAGGTGCTACTGGTAGCAGGCATGAAGTTGGAGCCCAGAGAATGAGTGTGTATGTGTGTGTGTGAGTGTGACAGAGAGAGGGGGGTGTGTAAATAGAGAAGGAGCAAAGGGGAGGCAGAGAGTGAACTTGGGGTGTAGGAGCTATCTCACTACCATTGACTGGGTGAATATAGAACCACAAGGACCTAGAGTATGAACAAGAATAGACACCCCAGTATCACACACTTTCCAAATTCCCTAAGGACCACACACACACACACACACACACACACACACACACACAGATGGATGTGGCAGTCTTTATGGACAGGATATGAGAGACAGAGGAGAGCGGATGGCTTGTGTTCCGCGAGGCCCATATGGTGGAATCAGAAAGGAAATTAGGATCTAGGATGATTCTAATAAGGCTGAGAGGATAAGATGGTCTATCTTGTTAGACGAGGCCTTACAAGAAAGGAAGCTGGCTCTCCATTCTCTCAAGGAGGACCAGGCGGAGAGGCAGGCCACGGGAGACGTGTGGGAGATCGTGAAGGGGCCTGACAGCCTGGGAAGACAAACAAATGCGGACCATCCTTAGTGGAGCCTGGCTGGCAGGCACGGAAGGGGAGAGAGCCTGGTACCACCTGCTGTAGACTAGGAGACCCCATGCCACAGAGGAGGTGGGGAGGAGGTGGCACCCATAGGCAGAGAGTGGGCAAAGCCGCCAGAGCCTGGCAGCTTCCCAGCTGGACACGGGAGGCGTCTCCGGATGGAGCAAGACACCCATGCCTCATCTCCGGAGGTTCTCAGCACCTCGGGTTTCAGAACCATCCGGAGGAAACCAGGGTAAGGCCTGGCGCACATTCTTGAGTGCACAGAAAGCACTGAGATAGGGTAACGATGGGGCACGACCTGCCTGGATAAAGACACTGGCCCCGGAAGTGAAGGGACTGGGGACTCCACGGCCGCAGACCAGCCAGGCGTCAGGCCTGCTCAGCGTCTCAGCTGGCCAGGGCTCCTTCAGAAGCGTGATGATCACAATCAGTATCCATGGGGTGCTTCCCATCTGCCAGACACTATGCCAAGAACTTCCACACCAAACTTCTTTACTCCCTGCAACAACCCAATGACTGTTGTCTCCTTTTCCAGGTGAGAAAACTGAGTTTGTACACGTAAACGACGTGCCTAACCATGGATCCTTCAGTTACTTTCAATATGGAGTTCCCTGGAGCCACCTGCCAGGGGTCACAAGTCATTAAAGAATGGCGCTCCCAATCTGCGGGGGTAAAATCAACTCCCCACCCTGTTGAGCCCCAGGGCTGTGAGGATGACACCGTGCGCCAGTCTCTGTCTGCGGGACACTTGCACTTGGTTGAGATTATAGATAGCCCCAAATCGCAGGGCTCAAGATAAAGCCCCAAAGATCCACACCAGCACCCTAACCCCTGGCCATTCAACCCTTGCTTAGATCCCTTCAGGAAGGGGGTACGCACTATACAACAGAAAGAATCCTTAGAGATCTTTGGTGCGAGGGAGATCAGTCGGTGTGTGCCATGGCCTCTAGCATGTGTCCAGGGTAGACATGACTAATCGATCCCAGCACTTTTTCTCAGCTAGTCACTCTTCACTTCTCACCAGGCTTGGCAAGAGAGAGATACAAACCCAACCTCTCCTTGGCAGTGGGAGAGACCAAGTCTGACTGGGAGATTAAACTAGTTCTGATGGGTACAGGTGCTCTCCCGTGGTATGATGCCCCCCTTCCCAGGTTATAAACATCACAGCGAGGTGGGGCAGCCCAGCAGGTACAGGCACTGGAAGAGGATGGCAGCAGCACTGCTTACATGAGAGAGCCGGACAGGCTGGGGCCAGCAGGGAGGCTGGTCTAGGGAGCGTTACAAGGCTGAGCAGGAGAGGTGGAGAGATGGGTGAAAAATCCAGTGGCTCCATTTCTCACATGTTGGGGAGCAGATCCCTTGTGCTCACCCAACATCCCAGGTCAATTCCCTGACCAGGGGTTGGGACAGTCTCTGCCCACAGGGCTCACTTTGTTCCTGGGCACCTTCAGGGTGGCCACCAGGCCCATGCTAGCTCAGAGAGGAGAACAAGCAACGTGCCCCATCCTTAACCCCCAGGCCCTTCGGAGCCCACCTGGTTCATTTCCAGCGGCCAACACACCAGTCTTCTCTCCTGAAAGTTCTCTCTGGCCACCAGCACAGGCTCTGTCCCTACACAGGGCAGGGCCCCGAGTGAACACCCCGGAGCGGCCTTCCTCACTGAGTGTCCAGTTCCCTTGCCCCTTAGAGGGACAACTCTGGGGCATAGTCCAGGCTGTCTCCCGGGCCTTCCAGAAAGCTTGGGCTTGTGCCCACAAGGGTCGGCATGCCGACAGCACACCTGTTACTGGCTCCTTCCTTTCCACGTCTCGCTTCCCCACTCCACCAGCAGTGCTTCTGGGGGTCCCACCCCCCACTAGCCTTCTTATACTGGAAACCTTGTCTCTGAGGGGCTCTCCAGGGGCCTCACGTGGCCCCTCCACGGCAGAGGGCCTCAGCCCCAAGCCTCCTCTCCTGAGTGTCCCACAGACACCGTGTGGCTAATGCGGTCTTTCTCTCCCACAGGTGGCCGTCTCCTCTGGCCTCTCTTTCAGGTGGTTCTCCGTTTCCCCTGCTCCAGCCAGCAGCCTGGCCTCCTCCCTTTCTGCCAGTCACCACGTACCTGGTCCGATATCAAGCCCTACTTTCGTTCATTCTCAAATCCACCCACCATTCTCATGCCCTCAGCCACTGCCTGGGTCCAGGCTCCCTGGTCCAAGCTGCTCAATGTGCACCCCAATGGGCTCCCCGAGTCCTGGGTCCAAGGCCTCATGCCTCCAGCCTCTTCCCTGGCTCCTCGGAGGACCCATCTGCAAAGCAGAAGACCTCCCTCCCCTTAGAAGACTGCCTGCAAGGCCGATCTGGGCTCTAGCTGAGTGCCCGGCAGACTGCAGGCAGGCACCCACTCTGTGCTGGCCCGGCCCGGCCGAGTCTCCTGGTGAGAGGAGTCTGCTGCTAAGAGCAGATGCAAGGAACCTGAAAGAGGGCAAGCACTCGCCTGCCCCCAGCCTCCCACCATAAGTAGTCACGAAGGGAGCCCCAGATGGAGCTCAGGGCTCGGCCTTGCTTCTCAGGGCAGCAGCAGAGCCTGGCATGATGCCTGGCCCTCACAGGGGTTGTTAAGGGCTGGTGAAAGGCCTCTTACTTTGCAGGCTTGCTCTTTCACTGCTGGGCCCGCAGATGGGCCTAGATGCACTGACCCCAGGAATGGGCTGTTCTGAGCAGCTGGGAGCCCTGAGGTGAAGGCGGGGCAGGAGGTTCGGGCACTACCCCCACCCCCACCCCTACCCCAGGGTGGATGACAGGTCACTTCAGGCACCAGGGAAATGTTTCCATGGTGGTATTTTTATCTTGGGAACATACTGGGGCAGAGGGGGAGGGTAGAAGAGGGCAGGAGGGAGACAGGGTGTCCCTGGGCCTGGGCCTGGGCCCCTTGGCTAGCCAGCTAGCCAGCCTGCTGGCCTGTCTGCCAGGGCAGCCACCAGGGCAGCTACTGCATACAGGCACCTTCCTCAAGGCTCAGGAGAGGGGGCCCCGAGGTTCACACGTCATGGTGAGACAAGGCGCTGTCTGTCACTGTAAGAGGGAGGCCTCTTACACATAGCCTTCCTGAGAAGCTGCCCAAGGCCCAGGGCAGCTGGCCAAGGGGTCAGGGCCTTAAGGATGAACCATGAAACTGCCCCACTAAGGTTCCCAGGGCACCCGATCAAGCAGGGGGCAGGGAGGAAACTTACGGTGAAAATACAGCTGAAGCAGAACCCGATGCGGAGCTTTGGGGTGCCAGAGTCAGGGCAGGCTTCCTGGAGAAGAAGTGCCTGTGACCAGGGCCTGGCAGATGGATAAAAAGAGTGTGAGCCAGGAAGGAAGCAGCGGGCATGGACCGAGCAAATGCCTGGCTGGAACCCATCCTCTGTGATAAGGGCCCACGGGGTAAGTAAGCTCTCCGGACCTCCCTTTTCCTGTCTGGCTGATCCCCATGGCCCTGATGTTCCTGTCTAGGCAGCCCCCGGTCCCAGCCCTAGTCTCAGATGACCTGGCGGAGGGACAGAACCTTCAGTCACATCCCCACCCGGTGGACACGGTGACACAGCGCCACTGGGGTTGAGTTCGGAGATCTGGCGTTCCCAGAAGAGGTGAGCTTCCCCAGGGGTCCCTTGGACAGCGAAGGGAGCCTTTCCAGACTCACACTCAGCGTCTGCTCAGCACAGAAAATGCCCGCTGCGAGGTGCCAGTGTTGGCTCTGCCCCATAGCGACGTCGTGCACGACAGAATGGAATCCCTCCCAGTCCTGGCTCAGCCTCACAATTGCTCCGATGCCCCAGCCCATGGCTGCAGCCACTGTGTCGCCCTACCGAGTGCCAGTGGGATGCAGGCACTGCTCTGGGGGATGCTTTAGGGGAGGAGACTCCCAAGCCCCAGTAATTTCAGAGACAAGGTGAGGGCTATTTTAAGTGGGGACAGGGGCTGGGAGTGGGGTGGACAGGGAGATCCAAATGAGCAGAGGCTACAGGCAGTGTGTTCCTGCGGGTGGAAGCAGTCGAGGCTGGAGTCCTGGTGTGTTCACGGGGTGGGGAGACCGCAGCCCCATCCCGAAGCCCCCTGCACGGAAGGCTCGGGTCTCGGTCTGCCCTCCTCTGATGACAGCACGGATGGCACAGGCCACCTGCTTGCCCCTCGGCTGCAGTGACAGCAGGTCAGAGGCCCACTGCTCGTTCGGGAGATCCTACAGCAACTCACAGAGGAACTACGCGGTCACGGGTCACTAAGTGATGTTCTGGTGATGATTCTGACAGCCCCAGTTCCCTTCGGACATTCAGAACCATCGCGTCCAACACTGGCGTGGTTCCGCAGAGCAGCAGCAGACCAGGTGGGTTTATGTGGGACCCTGTGCCACACTGGTAGGAAGCCAGCACTGCCTTGAGTGCCCCATGCTTTGTCCATCCATCCATCCATCCATCCATCCATCCATCCATCCATCCATCCATCCATCCCAGAATCACCTCTGCTTGGAGCACCTCATCGGTGCTAGACCAAGAGCAAGCAGTGTGAACAAGATGAGGAACCCACTCCCTAGGTGCTGAAAACAAGCAGAGGGGAAGGCAGACATTTCTGGAGAAAACAAACCGACAGATGCTTCCAGCTGGGAGAGGGGCTGTGAAGACAGAGCAGGGATGGCGACAGGGCGTGTGTCCTGAGGCGAGACGAGCGTTCAGGGTGGGCCTGAGCAGGAAGCCAGAGGATGGTGTCGGAGAGCCAGGCTGGGAGCCTGGTGGAAGCTGAGGACCCAGCTCACGCAAAAGCCAATGTGCCTGCTGGGGGCTGAGGGAGAGGGAGGGTGCAGGAGAAGGGGGCTGATGGTAGATGGAGGTGGGTGGGGGCAGATTCTCACTCTGGGGCATGTCTAGGAAGCCCTTTGCCCCTCTTCCATCCACGAGAGGAAAGTGAGGTTTTTTTACTCTGGGAAAGAGAGCTGCTGTTTGAAAAACACAACTTTCCTCTAGTTCCTAAATGCTTCCTCCTCCCCCGCTATCATGATCCGAACTCTACCTTGCAAGTCTGGCTAGACCAGAGGGTGTACACTGGTACAGATAGGAACTGGAAACACAGGGAATCCAGTGCGGATGATTCCTACAGGACCAGTGGTGTGAGTAGCGATACTGGGAGGGTGGAGGGAAGGTGGGGTGGAAAGGGGGAACCGATTACAAGGATCTACATGTGACCTCCTCCCTGGGGGGGCAGACAACAGAAAAGTGGGTGAAGGGAGACGTCGGACAGGGCAAGATATGACAAAATAATAATTTATAAATTATCAAGGGTTCATGAGGGAAGGGAGAGCGGGGAGGGAGTGGGAAAATGAGGAGCTGATGCTGGGGGCTTAGGTGGAGAGCAAATGTTTTGAGAATGATGAGGGCAATGAAGGTACAGATGTGCTTTACACAATTGATATGTATGTATGTATTGTGATAAGAGTTGTATGAGGCCCTAATAAAATGATTTTTTTAAAAAAACAGAGAGAGCTGCAGTCTCAGAAACCCACGGCGGGGAGGTGGGGGGATGGGGGTGGGGGTTCTACTCTGTCCCATAGTCACTATGAGTCGGAATGGGCTCAATGGCAGGGAGTGGAATGAGAGGGTCCCTGAGCGGGGTGGGTGGGGGGAAGGTGAGAGTCTGGACGTACAGCCAATAAAGACGCCTCAGAACTCCCAAAGGGCAGCTCTACTCTGTCCTAAAGGGTCGCTGTGAGTCGGAATCGACTTGGCAGGGACTTGTCTTCATTTCCTTGTGCCCCTGGACCTCATAACCCACCTCTAACCACCCAGGCAAACTCACAGTCACCCCGCCTCCCAGGCCAGCAGCATGGCCAGGAGGAAGTGCCCTGAGCAGCCGGAAGGAAAGGGCGCTGGCCTATTACCCCCTACCCCCGCCTTTAGGATGGAAGAGCTGGAGCTGACCACGGGCAGCCTGGACTCACCAGTCCTGCCTGGCCGGCCACCACACATGTGATTCTGAGCCCCACAGCCAACGCTGAGCATATGCCGTGCAGCTGGCCTGCTGGGCGCAGTGTAACAGCTGCTCCACCTCACACGCTGACCCTTCTGCACAGATGCTAAGCAACGGCGAGAACCATGCAGCCATCCTGGAGGGGTGGGGCCAGAGCTGGGCTGTGAGTTTAGCCCAAACTCACAGCTCCAACCCGGTATCTGTAGGAGAAACCATGATCTCCAGGCTTAGAGCCACCTCCGACAGGAAGTCCCCCTTGACTCTAGCCCCATCCTCTTGGTTAGGAAGGACCGGTGCCAGGGGGAGGCAAGCACTGCCGAGAAAGCCCAGGGCTAGTGGGTCTGGCCCCCACTAGACTGTGTGACTTCTTTGGGCTAAGGAGGAGGAGGAGGTACGTTTGGGGTATTTGTCCTGCAGCAGGAATGGCCAGCAGGCCTCTGCCTGAGGGCCGGCGGAGCAGCCACCAAACTTCCAAGGGAAGCATTCCCATGTCTGGAGTGGGGAGGAAGGAACGGTTCGTCAGTACCTACTGTGCGCGTGACTCAGCTCCCCCCACCCCTGACACAGTGGGACTCTCCTGCTCCTGGACAGGCAGGCAACCAGGCTCAGAGGGAACCCTGGTGTTCCGAAGCCACTGGAAGGCCAGCACTTGTGGGTGACAGGTTGGAACTGGGCAGATGAGGGGTTGCTGGTCTCCCTTACCTGGCTGTCCCCTCTCAATCTGGGCACTGGGAGAGGCCGCGTGTACCCAGCCACTGGGGTGCATGGCCAGAGGGAGGTGGGGGAGGCTAACCAGGCTTTGTAGGTCTGAGGATGGGGATCTGCTTCCCTCCACCCCTGCTCAGCCTCCTTCAGCAGGGGACGTGCTCAAGCGGGGTGTTGATTTCTCCATGGACTGGTCCTGTGACACCTGAGGCTTCAGTTCACCCGGCTTCCCCCCACCTCTGCCTCTGAGACAGTGTTTAAATGATTCATCTTGGGACCAGTATGGGCTGTTTCCACATCTGTAAAAAATGGCATCCTCCTCTACTCAAGTACTCCCACAGTGCAAGAACACTTTGTTCTATTAAACTGGCATTCCATGATGCTCACCTTCCCGACACGATCGCTGAAGACAAAGTGGGTGCATAAGCAAATGTGGTGAAGAAAGCTGATGGTGCCCGACTATCAAAAAATATAGTGTCTAGGGTCTTAAAGACTTGAAGGTAAACAAGCGGCCATGTAGCTCAGAAGCAACAAAGCCCACATGAAAGAAGCACACCAGCCTGTGTGATCATGAGGTGTCGAAGGGATCAGGTATCAGGCATCAAAGAACAAAAGATCATATTGTGAATGAGGGGGAGTGCAGAATGGCGACCCAAAGCCCATCTGTAGGCAACTGGACATCCCCTTCCAGAAGGGTCGCAGGGAGGAAACGAGACAGTCAGGATGCAGTGTAGCAACAATGAAACATAAAATGTTCCTCTAGTTCTTGAATGCTTCCTTCCCCCATCATGATCCCAATTCTACCTCACAAATCTGGCTAGACCAGAGGATGTACACTGGTACACATAGGAACTGGAAACACAGGGAATCCAGGGTGGATGATCCCTTCAGGACCAGTGGTGAGAGTGGTGATACCAGGAGGTTGGAGGGAAGGTGGGGTAGAAAAGGGGAACTGATTACAAGGATCTACATGTGACCTCCTCCCTAGGGGATGGACAACAGAAAAGTGGGTGAAGGGAGACATTGGACAGTGTAAGATATGACAAAATAATACTTTACAAATTATCAAGGGTTCATGGGGGTGGGGACGGAAGGGGAAAATGAGGAGCTGATACCAAGGGCTCAAGCAGAAAGCAAATGTTTTGAGACTGACGAGGGCAGCAGATGTGCAAATGTGCTTTTGACAAAATGGATGTATGCATGGATTGTGATAAGAGTTGAATGAGCCCCAAATAAAATGATTATTTTAAATGGGCCTCCTTCATGCAGCTGTTGGGGGGGTTCACAGACATGGTCTGTATTGGGCGCTCCACTAGTGCCTGTCCATGTCTCCTGTGACGCCTGTGCCCATGCTGGCTCTCAGAGTGCCCACACGGGTGCCTGGGCTCACCTGTCTGAGCCATGGATACATGCCTGATGTGTATAGGGGCTGTCCATTCCTTGCCCTACTCTGATGACTCCAGGTACAGTGAAGGAGTTGATTTTGAAGTTGATCCCAGGAGGCACATGTAGGAGGTATGCCACCGGAGGGGGCAACCAGATAAGGGATGCCACTGGGCGTGCTACCACTGTGGCTCCTGAGACTCCATCCCTGTGGTGTGGACCCCTGCAGGGGCTCAGAAAGCCCCTGGAGAGACAGCAGTGAAACTGTGGGAGGAAAGAGCTGCAGGGCAGGGGCCTGTGGCCGCGTCTGCATCCTATTACCCACCGGCTCACACCTGCCACTAGCTGAGAGCCGTGGGAAAGTCCATTCTCAGGTGCCTTGAGCCGCCAGGAAGACTCTCTCAGTCCAGAGATGCCCAGGGTGTAGGACACATTGAGAGTGGAGGGGGTATGGGAGGGCCCCCATGCACATAGAGTATGTATGTATGTGTGCTTGTGTACATATGAGTGTTTG